AATCATGAATGGAATAACATTTTCATATGAAAAAAAGAGACGGCAGTTCGTAATATCTATCCTCGAGACTTTGTGCCTATTTCTGTACTTAAAGCAAAGTTTCAGCTATTCTATTAATATATATGGTTTGACTTCTTCTCTCTAAAACTTTGCCACCACACACCGAATGAACATATGAATAGGCGCGGCGTGTCCCACGGGGGTGGACCGAGAAGCAGTTAAGTGGTATTACCCCTCTGTTAATAAATGATTCTGAGTGTCCAGGAAACTTCATAAACCTCTCAGAATGATAAATCGGATAAGTTTCGCGACTGTTCTAAGATGCCAGACCTCCCTCATTAAGGTACATTCAACGTCTGAGTTTGAGACACAATTCATTAAGTGTTTGCAAATGGTTAAAAAATAATAATAATAAAAAAAAAAACCCTCAGATACTTTAGTAGTTATTCAAGAGCGTTTTCCGGTACAATAAACTTATGTAAATACGGCTGCAGTCTTACAGCGTTATATGAATTTCGGAAAGTTCTTGATCGATGAACTGACCTAATTTATCATTTTACTTGAACATGACAGTGCAATATCCGTCCAAAATTTTGCTGATTTCTGTCTGGTATCAGGAAAAAAATATTAAAAGTTTTAGTTCGAAATCTCAGCAGTTTGTTAAAAAAAATTATTAGGGAAAATTTTGCCAATTTGAAAAGCAGTTACGTTCTTTTGTCACGGATACGACGATTTGAGCGCACTAGAGTCTTTTTAGACCCAGCGTTGCGGCCCATCGGAACAGTGGGTCGGCGTGCTTTGCGATACATCGATTGATCTGCCATTTAGACCTATGGAAAAGGATCGATAACAAGGTGTTCGCAACGAACACCTTAATAATCGACTCTTTACCATAGCTTCAAATGGGGGGAATATCGATAACCAAGCATCCACGCCTCGCCACTGCATTGTTGGTTTCACATGACAGTACTCTGGGTATGAGAGGACTCTGGGGCAGACCTGCAGTAATAAGTAAGGAAAACGCATGAGTCATTAGGCGTTGCCAAATTTCCTTCGACGAATCACGAATTTTCAGAAAATTTGTAATAATTCTCTGATTTTTCTACGGTATTTCATTCATAATTTGATCAAAAAAGTCGGACTTTTCAAGAAAAGATATTCATAACTTTTTTTAAAAATAAATATTTTTAAAGTAAAAATTTGGCAAATCTCGAATGCGTATTCTACGTTTTTACTTAGTACTGCAGAGATGTGAAAGGGAAAGGTCAGTATTAAAGAACTAATTTACCTCAATAATATCAAACGCGTCTAGCACCACGTCTTATTTTATAGAGGTAAATCAATTTTTTTAATACTGACCTTTTGTTTTTTTATCTTGATTCCTCGATGGTTTTTTAGTCTATTTAACGATTTTAACGTCAGAGATGGACGCCGGATCAGGAAAATTCGCGTGAAAACATTGCAACAAGGGGCGTTGCTGCTCTCGAAGTAACCATCCATCTAAAATCCAATCTCTTTATGACGTCGTCTTCATTGTGCATGGCGCATTAGTGACAAAAACGGGATCTGGAAACCCGGTCAACGCCGGGACGTTATACGTGCCGGGCGTGTGAAGTGCGGAGGGCTCGCGGCGCGGCGCGGGGTCGGCCGCGAAGCCGCGACCATTTCGCGATTTTTGCAGGGTGCGTCACCCCCCCCCCCCTCCCCTCGCCAGGAAAGCTTTCCCGTGTCGTTATGTGCGCTCACGGCTCTTGCTGATTGATCATTTTCAAACTCGATATTTCTTAAAGACGTGCTCCATGTCAGAGTGAAGTGACGAAACCGTGGTTAAAAATAGCTCGCTCCATAGCCAAGCTCGATCGATACAAAAATTGGTTAAACAATTTTTTCTTTCAAATTCGACTCAAACAATTTTGCTCATCTTTTTTCAACAAAAAATTGGCATAGAGAAAAAAAGGAGGTGTTTGCGAACTCTCAAATCGCCTGTCAAACATTTTGTCGAGCAACACTTTCGCGCTGGGTCGAAGAGAGACGCGGTGGGTGTCCCATCGTTCAAGAGATCGACAGATGGAGTGATAAGGACCATCCAGACACAGGGCCATAGAGAATCTCTGAAGGGAGAATATGAATTTTGACCCCTGATTGGCTCAGCCATCTCCATCTTCATGGAGACCTGAGGCACTAGAAAAATGTCACAGAGAAAAAAAAAGAAGGTGTTTGCATCTTGAGGATTGTTCACCCTGTAAAGTAGGTCGGTAAAACTTGGCCAGCGAAATCCGGAATTCAAGGTATGAAAAACGGACCATAATGTCCGATTTTTTTGCTTGAATCAACTCATGATATAATTTCAAACACTTTTTATAGAATGACTTTTTTTCATAAATTACACCATTTCCAAGAAAATCGATTATAAAAGTCGTCACGTCGCACCGGCCTACGTCATCAAAAAAAGTCCAAAATTTCCAAAATGCAAACACCTCCTTTTTTTTCTCTGTGAAAAATTGATATATTTTGTTATATCCAAATTTCGTTCGCTCTAATTATTAGAAGAAAGAAAAATCCCTAGATCAATTTCCTTGTTGCATTGGTTCCGTTTATTTTATTAGTAGTGGTGATTTAAGGGATACGTTAGCAACACAGCCGAGGATACGAGAGACGTATCCGGTTCCGAATTTGAACGACGTGACACTTCATTGGTAGCAAAGAGCGGAGCATTGCGAGTTAACGCCTCTCGCCATAGCGCCTTCAATTTTGCAGATGCAACATGGACATCCATCAAGCACGAATAGTTGTATCTCTGCGCCGTCGACAACGTGCGTCCATTCTCTTGCTCAACTCTATTTCCATGTTGTATTGGTTCCGTAGGTCTTATTAGCAGAGGTGCTTCAAATGCGACGGTAAAAAACACAGCCGAGGATACGAGAGACGTATTCGGGCCTCATATTATACCTTTTCTCCCGAATCTGACTGATACCTCATTGGCAGTATAAAGCGGAGGATTTCAAGTTCACGTACCGCGCGGTCACGCCTTCAATTTTGCCGACGCAACACTGGCATCCAGCAAGCACGAATAGTTGTATCCCTGCGCCGTAGTGCGCCGTCATAAACGAGTTATACTCATTGTGTATTCCTTCTTTAATAAGCAAGATCTCCTTGATGGACAGAAAAAACTATGTGACAGTTCAACGAGGACTGTTAGTAACTTATTCCAAGTGACAGAAACAGGACCAATTACAATTCAGTGACGCGTCAGTTGAAGGCAACGAAGACGAGAAGTTGACGTAGCGTGATGACTAAACAACTAAAACCTGGGTACAAATTGGACTGCATTTGGCTATTTGGAACTATAAATCTGGCTCTTCTGGAAAAAATACTTATGTGTATGGGGACACTTATGGCACATATGTTGTTTTTGAACCGAGCTAGAATTCATAGTTCCAAATTGCAAAATGTAGTCCAATTATACCTCCTAATGCTCCACGGTCATTTAAATCGTATGAAGAAAAATTAAAGGCGCTTTTAATTGTTTCCGCTCTTTTTCTCTCTCTTTTTAATTATTTTAATGGTAACCAAACAATGAGTGCTTCTTTCAATGTGAGATATTTTGAGAGGAACAAAGGGAAATTAAATACAATACAGTTGATGAATTTCCTCTCTTTCCCAAAAGAAAGAAGAAAAAAAATCACGAGGCCCAAGAAAATTGTGGCGTTTAAAATGGACGCACTTGTACTCTTCAAGTTCCACCAATAATACTTTGTACACAAGGCAAACAAGCTTGAACCATGCAAAAGTGAGGCAACATGCAAACGGCATGCATCTTCAAGATGGGCTGTTTTTGATAACTTTGACTGATTTATTCACAGAATATTGTGCGAGACTGAATTAAAATTTACGGGCCAGTCGTTCTTTCGGCAGTAGATTATTGTATGCCTATGTTAGTGAGTTAATTTGACAGCCAACCCAACCGGTTTTCTCGACGCTGACCAGTTTATGCTGTGCCATAATCACTCAGCGGTGAAAACTGCAGAGGAATTCTACGGAATTATATTAAACTTGACTAGATTTTCCTTTAAAATATTATTTTATACAATTTGTTTGTGCACCTTCTGATTCAATCTCAAAATCACCAAAATCGTCCCGTAAGTGTGAAAATTCATTCCAATAAATGTCAGCCTTGCATTTCAGACAAAAAAGGAACACTACCAGTTTTCACGACACTGACTTCATGCATCATGCATTGACGGTCTACAAAGAAATAGAGTCGTTTCACGAGGGTCATCGCTCCACAATCAACATATTTGTCAAAATGAATTGAAAAATCAAAGAGCGACCAGTCCATCAGCATGTAACGGGCCAATGGATATTAACGGGATTGAACTGGCCGTGACGTCATTCCCGGTTTATATTGACAAATACACTGATCGCGTAACCGCGACTTTTGGCATCGTAATCGACCCCGTTCGAAAGTAAACTAATTTCCCGTGCTAAGGAAGAACGCACGGAAAACATTAATTTGCTGATCGAACAATTAAATTGCTAAAAAAAGTGACTGCAATATTTCAACGTAGATTTCACAACACAAAAATGCTACCTTAACCACCCCCGTTGTTAAATTAGCTTACAATAGTGGTTAAAGTAGGATTATTGTGTTATGAAATCTACGTTGGAATATTGCAGTCACTTTTTTTTTTCATAGCAACTTAATTGTTAAATCAGCAATTCAATTTTTTCCGTGCGCCGTATGAGTATTTAAGCGTTGCCAGATTTCCTGAGACAAATCACGATTTTTTGGGAATATTTGTACATACTATTCATCCATTTTTTCAGAGAATTTTGTTCGTAATTGTATGCGAAATTTTTGAAAATTTCAAAAGAAAATATTTGTAACTTTCTTTAAAAATTAATATTTTTGCGAGGGAATTTGGCAACATTCGAATGCCCAGACTGGGTTTTGCCTTAGCGTGGCAGCGTTGTCATGCATTAGGGATTCGTTGGTGTACCTTAGGGTTCAAGCCGGAACCCTGCCTGAGGAAGGTGCCGGTAATGAACCAGAAGCTGTTGGAGACGGAGAACTGGTTCTCGACGACGTCGGACTCGATGGAGCACGGGTGGGGGTTGTTCCACTCGTACGGCGAGAAGCGGGCCATAACGAAGAGGGTGAAGCTGACGAGGATGTAAGCGGTGAGCACGTACAGCCAGATCTCCACCGCCAGCGGGTTCATAAACGAAAACAACCGGGTCGGCTGACTCGTTGGAACCTAAGGCACCACGCCAACATATTCACGTCACTTATCGTGGCTCATCTGACGTGAGGGCGTATCTTAATTTTTCACGTGAGCCCTGTTCCCCGTATGACTCTGAACTTTCAGCGGGCCGATTATTAAAATTTATAGACAAAGCTATAGACAAAGAAGACATGAACATTATAGGGCCATCCGATTGGTTGAAATGGGTGGTTTTTATAGACTAAGGGGGTAAATGATGGACTAACTATATCGGGTTTCTCGTGGGTTGCAGTTAGTGAGTCAATAACCTACGTCCTTTGTCCATTGCAACCACCCACCTCCGCCAGTAGGATCCCTCCATATCCTTTTTGTCTTCTTTGTCTATAAATTTCAATAATCGACCCGCTGGGCAAAGGCATGGCGTAAATGATCGATCATCGCTGTATCTCCATGAAGCTATGATGAAGAATCGATTTTTAAGGTGTTCGCTGCAAACATCCTGTTTTTCGATCTTTTTCCAAAGGTTTGAATGACAAATCCATCGATATATCTGTCCCTGGAGCTCATGTGGAAATTGAGATACGCCCTTGTGCTAGAGGAGCGACTTTATGGCCGAATTCAATGGCATTCCTTGAACAGCTACTTTCTTTCAGAGGGCTCATAAGGTTTACATTATGATTATGGGGGGGTATCACGGTATCAGTGTATCACTTTGAACATAGCATCACAAGAAGGACAGTATTACGAGCTTTTAGTCAAATTCAATGGCATAACTTCGAAAATGAAATTTTGAGAGGGCTTCAAATGACTTGCCTCTATAAAAAAAAATGAAAATTCCAAGGAATAATGATGGTGGCAACATTTAAGAAGGTAATCACGAGGCGGCCTTAGAATTTGCAAAACCAGCATCCTCCCTTCTATTTCTTTCGTAATTTTTATGTTTTTACCGTTAAAAATATCTGAACACAACGGTGTGTACATTCATAACACGAAAAAAACAAAAAAAAACCTAAGTCTTGCAATGAAGGAAAAATTAAAGAATCTATTATGGGTTCAAGAAGTCGATGACCCGCTCGTTATCTTAGCGCAAAAGACCAAAATATGGATGTGTTCTTACCTTAAATAAAATTCCAATGCCAAGATTCATGAATGGCTTTGTAAAATCTATAACACTCTCTCTGGCATAATTGATGGTCATCGAGGCGACAGCTAGATCTGCTCTCTGTCAACAAACATTTTGTGAGTGGTTACATTAATTGAAAGTGGGAAATCAATATATGAGCTTTCTAGACAATTTTCAAAATCATGAATTTTAAATGTACCTAAAATGCGTGTATTGGCTTCTATCTATCTAAATGTTTTTTGTTTTCTTTTTTCTGTTTGTATGAACACGACTACGGGACTTAAAAAATAGACCCAGCGTTTTTTCTTGTCTCGAAAATGTTGGATCGCGATTCATGGTTAATTTTTTTACACAAGAAATGTTGAATTAGTGCCTATTTTGAAAGTTAAAATAGCTCAGTGTTTCTCTCAAGTAAGCTGGAAAGTAACAACTCGCCATTTGTGAAGCTTCAGATGAAATCAAAAGTCACTCAATTTTGGCTTCAAGTCTTCAAGTATAAATTCTCGCAGATAATTTGACACCATTTCAACTGAAATACCTACCTCTTATGAATAAAGCAGCGTTGAAGACTACGTTAGCAAATAGAATGTTAATTTGGGATAAAATACACCATATTATCTAGACTTTTTACGGCCGGCAGAGGGTTAACCCGTTGAAGTTTTTATTGTCATGAAACGCTTTCTCAAGACTCATAAAACGGCTCGTGACTGTGAAACTCATAGCGGTAGTCGTAAAACATAGTTTGACCGTCAAAAGCTCTTCAAAAGACGACAAAGCTTCATTTGATTTCCACAAAAGACATGTAGGATGGCATATCGTCGAGTCGTTCGTAAACTTTTTCTCTTTGTGATAACTTACAAATTACGATGAGTTTTTATATTTTCTCATGATCAGTTCATTGAGCTCACGCATATTCAGCCGAAGTCAGTAATTTCTCAAGCCGGAGGCACTTGAGTCTTTTCTCCTGATATGATGATTATGATTCCAAATATCAATCTGAGCACTTTCTGGTAAAAAGGCTCATTGCGGCAAACCTAGTATTGATTCAAAGTACACTTTCTTTGATAAAAGAAGCGTGAGCCACAGATCTGCCGTGCTAAGGAAGAACGCCGTATGAACATTCGAGAGTTGCCAAATTTCCCTTGATGAAACATGTAATTTTGACAACATTCATGCATATATTTCCTCGAAATTTCAGATATTTTAGATTAAATTGCGTACAAAGTTGTCTGAAAATTTCGGAAAATAATATACGCAATTTTCCCAGTAATTTTGGTTTTTATCGGAGGAAACTTGGCAACGTCTAAAGGCTCATACGGCGTTCTTCCTTAGCACGGCAGAGATGCCTTCTACCAGAAAATGCCTCCATTTTTCTACGTGAGAAATGAACTAACTTTTCTGGAATCTTATTATTATTGCGTGTCTTTCTCTTGAAGCAACGCTGTTCCTGAAATCAGATGCTGTTATGAACTTATTTTTATTTCAAAATAGTGTTTTAGAAATCCAGGAAAACTCTTTACCTTATCTATTAATTCCCTAACGATACCATTCCACTCCTTTTTTTCATTATCATACACGCCATACATGTTATCCGGCACGAGGCGTATTGCGTAATGGAAACCTACTTGGGTCGCAATGGTTTTTAGTAAATCAATGCAAAATCCTTCGTACCTTGCATTGCCGGTTAAATTTTTATCTTCTCTAACCATTACATAAGGCCGCTCCTGAAAAGAGAAAAATGTAGATTAATGTGCAAAGATCTTTTTCATAAGTTAAAGGTAGGATACTAGTTCTGATTAAATGATTTGGCATGTTCCCGAAAGTTTGTCCGATTTGATCCCAAGAAACTATTTGGACGTATTTCTGCTAAACGAAACTAAGCGCCACAGGAGGAGGAAGGTAGAGGGAGGCTTTGATTGGCGGCGGAACCGGGCGTCAGGCTCATTCCGTCTTATATTTGCAATGCTTTTTCATGGCGCTTAGTTCCGTTTGCCAGAAAGGCTATCCGGCATTTTAAAATCCTCAAAAGGAACTCAAAATGGCGCTGAGTACCGTTTGACAGAACGGGCTATCCGGCATTCTAAATTCCTCAAAAGGAACTCAAAATGGCGCTGAGTACCGTTTGACAGAAATACGTCCACTTAAATGAAACTTCTGAAGAATTTGTCGACGCACAGTGGATCAAGGGACACAATTTGGAAACTTTAAACGCTTTCAATTCCGTGTATAAAAAATTTTAAGGTTCTAAAAGTAGTTCCATTGGTTCCCTCGTGAAATTTTCTTCTGGATGCACCCTATAGAGAAAATGTGACGAAATAAACATCAAAATTTGTAATTTTAGTCAAAAATTAATGACCAACCTCTCTGACAAACTCGATCCTCTATGTGACGTAGGGTTGTATCTCTATTTTCGCATGAGCCCCAGAAAGTATGGATTAATGTGTGAATCAGGGCTCACGTGGACATTGAGGCACGCACTTGCGTCAGAGGGGAGACAAATTTTAGGAACTAATAAATTGGAATTTTTAAGAAATTGACACAACACAGACTTTGTAAGTTCTGTAAAAATTAAAGACGATAACAATAATTGGGCTTAGTAGCTTTCTCAAAAAGTCGGCAAAATTTCAATTGACTCGGAAACTAGATATACCTACAATTTCTGATTTATAAATCATCTTGCTGATGACAATTATGTCCATTTTGCAAGATTCGACCTGTAAAACTCGATTCTCACCTCCAAAAATTTTTAAAGCCTATCTTACCCAATGCAATCCTCTCCCTCCCTTCTAAAAACCTGTGTCTCTTGAAATCGCAAACATATTACCTACCCCTTTTATAAAACGGATACTTTATTTAACCTCGGAACTTTTATCACGTCTCCCTTTATTATTTTCGTCCTAGAGGGTGCTAGATGATATTCACACGATGATCCCCCCCCCCCCCNCCCATTGAGTTCCTGACATTGACCAAGTTTCCCAGAAATCCTCGTTTATTAAACGCCTTGGGCGCTGCCAGCCACTCAAAACGCCTCTACCGCTTAAAAAAAAATAGCGTTCAGCTCTTTAAGCATTTTGAGCGGTCAAATAGCAAGCGCGTCGTTCACTTTAAGTGTGACCTATTAACGAAAGCTGTGAACATTAGACAGCTCCAAGACAATAGGACGGGGCGCCGGGGCGCGCAACTGACGAAGATGAGAGGGGGGGGGGTTTGGCGGATGGCCTTCTCAAGGTTAATTACAGCGTATTGATTGACACCAATAAATATGCCACTTGGGTGCAGCTGCTTACCTACTTCTCGGCTCCAGACTCAATTTGAGTGCTCAGTTTTCCGCAGTCATTGAAAAGTGCTAACTTTTCGGAAGGAGAACAAGTAACAAATGTTTCAATTCATACCGCGACTAACATAGAATTTTTGGAAATATTTTGTTATGGTTCGTAAAGAAAATACTTTTTGAAAATATATTAGAGAGAAAAATGTTATAATTTACCCTTGAAATTGTTTATCCATCGCGTTAATCTATTTACATTGTCCTGCAAATGTTTCCTCCAGTCACTACTGGCTTGAGAGCGAGAGAAAAAAAAAACTAGAGCGCCTTCAATTTTCTTAATGCGACACGCACATCCAAAGAACACGTTTAGTTGCATCCACTCCCCTGCACACTTGCATCTCAACACGGAGTTTCCAATGTGTGCTATTCTGTATACCTTCTCGTTTACCTTTGCGTTTTATACCGTGGTACTTTAGTCAACATTTTCAATACAATTTCACCTCAAACCATTAACTCTCCGAGGGGCCTTTTAGCTTCAACCGCGGTGAAAAACTAAAAGATCATTCACACAACTCAGTTTTTGTTTATCTTCGCTAAAGATTTCAGTTGTCGAACAGAATAAATCCTCATGTAAAGTAAAAACGATAAGATATCAGGTTAAGTTTATCTGCCTTTTTCAAAATTGTTTCCCCTTTTTCATTCATTGATTTTACCGGTCATTGCGTTGCAATTTGCATGACTGTATTGCAGATACCTCAGATGGACAAAAAGATGGAAATTAAATTACTTGACTTACCTCTCTGGTCATTACGACGAGAGTTATATTAGTTGCACTAGATTCATAAAAGGCAGTAGGGTCGGTAATATTAATTCCTTCTAAAGGCGTCCAGTGACCGACTTTCCTCAGCTCCTCTTTTTTTAATTTAAGTAAATCTAATTTAAAATTGCTTCGTTTTCCTTCTTTAAATTCTATTCGACCGGTTAGGCCGTTGACGCTAGCCTGTAAAAAATAAATGAAGAGAAATCCCATTTTAAAATTCATAGAAAGTATTTAAAGTAGGGCGCAAAGTTGTGCGCTGATATAATAACAGTAAAATATGAACACTTCAGCAAGGGACATAAAAGGGATGATTTATTGTGTTCTTTCCACCTTCAAATTACCAATTTTGACCAAAGTTGATTTATCCTGCATCGTGATTCTATGTTTCCTTGTTGTAAAGTTGAGTTTTTATACTGTCTCAGGAAAACTTCATCGAATCAAAATCAAAATCTGACTATTAAAAAAAAACTTCATTTTTGGGAGACGCAAAAACAATGCGGCGAGACATTTTTGGGTAGCTTTATAGATTCCATTACGATGTAGTTCCGTAGATTTGCTATTACATATTTTTGAAAGATAAACATAAAACTATTCCACTTTATTTCTTAGTTGAATACAGATTGATTGTTGAGAAATCTGTGACATAAATATGAATACGTAAAATACTGTAAATAAAACTTGCCGAAACTGGCGCTTGTGCCTCACCGAATTGATATAATTGTAGAGACTAAGACCGTTTTTCCACGGTGTTTCTAGATCACAGGATAAATTGACAGGTGCTAATTCATTCAGCCCCGACAAGCCTTTGGCAAAAACGTGCACTGAATCGTACATAAATGCTGGTTCTGCCTGAAAAAATGCGTATAATTGGCTCAGTTTGAGATAAAATTAACTGGAAAACGTATGGACCGAATGTAGCAGAAATGAACGCGTGTGTTTTGCTTATTTCAGAAACGACATTTTTCATTCATTCTCCTGTAAAAAAGATGATTTTGTGAACGTTTCGGTTTGCTTCCTTTTTGCTTAGTCAGGTCCATTTTAGTCGATAAAAGGCCACAAAAATGTCTAACAAGGGATCATATTGAGTTTCAATTTTTTTTGGATTGCTACAAGTTTTGAATAAACGTTTTTAGACAGTCCATATTTTGTTGCATGGAGAAAAGTTTTTTGAGATCCCAGCTTACAGCCCTGTTAATATCTTTTTCATTGGATTTTTTTTGAGATAACTATAATTCCCGCTCTTAGGAATAAAAACATTCTTTAGAATACAAATTCTTATCACGACAACTAAAAAATCCATCGAGACAACTGAAATTCGTTGTCTCAAAAAAAACCCGATAGGGAAAATATTAACAGGCCGTCCTAAATGAGCGGCGTGAAATTTATCTCCGTGTGGTAAAACTAAAATTCGCACACCTTGATTGCAGTATTTTAAGATGTGCTATCTTTCTTCATTATACATACATACATATGAGTCGCTTTTATAGCGCTCTTTGGCGCTGTGCGACGCCTAATCGCCACAAAGCTCGGTCTTCCCACAGGTCATCAGGGAGTTGACAATCTCTTATCTCATTTAACACCCCCTGTCGCCAACCTCTCACTGGGCGTCCCCTACGTCTCCTCCCAGGAGGAACCCAATCAAGCATCTTTTTTGGCAGCCTCTCTTCCGTCATCCTATTGACATGACCATACCAAACAAGTTGTTTGGTCATGACGTCGAACACGATGTCATTTTCGACTTCCATTATCTGACGCACTCTATCATTACGGACCCGATCTCTCCTAGAAATTCCTGCTGACCTTCTCCAGAAATCCATCTCCGTTGCTCTTAGCATATCCTGTGTCCGTTTCTTCAGCTGCCAAACTTCACATCCGTATGTTAATATACTTTTGACTACAGCGTTGTATATCCTCCTCTTGTTATCTTTGGAAATCCGCTGATCCCAGAGGATTCCATTTAACATCGCTATAGCCTTCCTTGCTAGGGTGTTCCTTTCCCTGATAGCTTGATCCGTCCTTCCATCCTGGGTCAACCGCACTCCCAAGTACTTAAAGTGCTCGCAGCCTTTGATCTGCTGCCCATCCTCCAACTCAATGCTTTGCTGATCACCGCCAAAAGTCATCTTCTCAGATTTGGATATGCTGACTTCCAGACCCCACTTCCGATACTCTTCTACTAGCTTGCGCATCATGTATTCCGCGTCATCTTGATCTTGAGCAACCACCACCTGGTCATCAGCAAAGCACAGAGTAAACAGAGTTTCGAGATCACCCAAGGGGACACCCATACCAGAGCATTTCTTTTTCCATTCTTTTAGCACGCACTCGAGATAAATTTTAAATAATGTTGGCGACAAACAACATCCCTGTTTTAAACCCTTAGTCACATAAAATCCCGCTGACAACCCTTCATGGCACTTAACTTTGGTAAAACTCCCTTTATAAAATCGCTTAACAGCGTCAATCAACCCCCCGTTAAAATTCGATTTTTCCAAGGCCTCCCAAAGTTTCACCAACGGCACGCTGTCATACGCCTTCTGGAGATCCACAAAAATTAAATGCAGTTCCTGAGCTACGGCCATTTTCTTCTCAATGACCTGGACAATAACAAAGAGGTGATCTATCGTAGACCTGCCAGCTCTAAAACCAGCCTGCTCCTCTGCTTCGTGATCCTGCCATTCGTCCTCGATCTTCGCTTTCAGTATCTTCCCGTACACTTTGCTTATTGTCCCGGTCACTGAGAGCCCCCGGTAGTTGTTACAGTCGTCCTTCCTTCCCTTCTTTTTGTAGATGGCCTTGATCCAAGACTCCTTCCACTCCCTTGGTACCTCGTCACCCCTGATGCATTGTTGCATCAGTTTTCTGAGGCACTCAAAGAGCTTGGCAGTCCCGTACTTGACCAACTCGACAGGAATCCCACCAGGACCCGGTGCTTTGTCATTAATTAGCTCTTTAACCGCTTTAATTATGTCACAAGTGTGGATCTCCAAGTTGTTCATTCTTCCGTTGTCCGTGCTGTTGTCTCGAAACTCTGGGCGCCTTTCCGTCAAAAGATCTTTAAAATGATCCTCCAGTTTTTTAAGTGATATCGGAGAAACGATGTCGCGCTTCATGTCTCTACGTAAACCTTTAATTAACTTCCAGCTCTCAGCACTTTTTCTCCCCCCTAGGTAGGTGTTAATTCTAGAACAGTTGCTTTCCCAAGCTTCATTCTTCTTCCGTGTTATGAGGCTCCTAACTTTAGACTGAGCTTTCCTGTAAGCAACTTTATCTTCAGTCTTTTTAGACGACAGAAATATAAGGTGTTTTTGCCTCTTAAGATTTATCTCGTCTTCAATTTCTTCATCCCACCAGTAAGGATGCTGGTATTTATTACTGGTTTTGTGAACACCTAGGGCTTCTTTCGCTGCAGAGTGGATACAATCTTTGATGAACTGATATTGCTCCTCCGTGGTACCCGAGAGTCCATCCCCCAGCTTCTCATCTAAGCGTTTCCGATACAGAGCCTTGACACTAGGGTGCTCCAAACTTTCGATGTTATACCATACTTCATGATTTTGCGTTCCCTGACTCTGCTGTTGCTCAGGCATTGGCTCTTTATCTTTAATCCCTCTAACGGGAAACGCTATATCTGCTCGGAGGAAATGATGATCACTGCCGCAAGAGAGTCCCCTGCACACTCTAACTTGCTGCAATTTCAACTTAGTAGTGTGCTTTACAATTACATAATCGATGATGGATTTCAATCCTCGCGTTGGCTGGACCCAGGTATACTTATGGATGTCTTTGTGTTGAAAAAAGCCATTCAAAATTTTCATCTCAGTTTGAGAACAAATTGAGATGAGCCGATCACCGTTATCATTAACAGCATCCTCCCCAAACGGTCCAACAACTTTACAGTTTACTCGTCGTCCCGTTCTGCTGTTCAAATCACCCATAAGAATGGCTTCCCTGCCAGCACCAACGTTCAGTATTTCATCATTCAGATCTTCGAAGAATTGGTCCTTACATGCGACAGTGGCATCATCATTTACACCGTATACTCCGAGCAGCGTGATCTTATGTCCGTACAGGTTAAGGTTCATTTTGATAATGCGCTGGTTGACGGCCTCCCAAGTGCCCACGAACTTACGTAGGCTTCTCCGCAAAAGTATTGCTACTCCTTGCTGAGCACGCTGATCTTTGGCTACGCCGCTGTAGAATAGATCATAGTCACCGTAATTCTCTGACCCGTGCCCTTTTTTCTTGGTCTCAGTAAGAACAGCGACATCCACTCCAAGTTTCTGAATCTCCGATATCACTTCCGGTAACTTATTTGAAATGCCTTGGACATTCCACGTCCCAAATACCATTGTCCGTTTTCTCAATTTTTGTCGACGTGTCCGTTTAGTTCTAGTGGTACCGAGGCTTGTATTGTTAGGTCGTTTAACAGTAAAACTTTTTACAAGTACCGGGGAGTTAGCCCGATGACTCAACCCCCAACCTGGAGGACCAGGGTTTGATTTCGGAGTTGCCTCTCCTAGACAGGTTGCTTTCACTTCAGCTCAGAGCCCTGTCTGCCCTTCTAGCAGGTGGTTCATACGCCCAGAGGCCGGTGACCATCTCCACTGCCCCCTTTGAGGCAGGGGCTACCAGCTGGGGTCCGCAGGATTGCTAAACCTGTGACAACAGTCCCCCATACGGGAAAATTATCCCAATTTAAAACTATGAGTGATGTACGTAAGGATTTATTTTCTGGCTGGGCAAAGAATAACCAAAATTATCGGTTACGACAACTTGACTTATCATCAACCTCAGGATCATATTGAATTTTTAATCAACGTGAAAAAAGGATGGTAAATCTCAGTAGTTTTTGAATGCATACCCCTCATATAATGATGGATTTTGTATTCGTTCGGAATGTTTAAAATAAGACAACCTGAGGATTCTTTACAACCACCAGCAATATAACATTTTACATGACCATCGGTGCATAATGACCATATCTATCGAACAGTGACGATCGCAGGCAAAATGGCGACACTATTTTCATTTCATTTGCTCATTTGTAAAAGAGTGGCAGGCTGCCTCATCTATGATCGATATTCTTAAATACATTTGGTTTGCGGAAATAAGGTGTTGCCAATTTGCGAGAATCACTACTGTTGTCAAATACTTGAGACATGTCTACTATGTCGGTCTGAAACAATCCATATCGTATATTAGAGGATGTAAAGTAAACATGTCACCTGAATAACGCCACTTTTATTGAGTATGGCATGGCCTATCGGTTGGAACTTTTCCATTTGGTCTAAAGTTTCGGCCACTTTTGTGTTCTCAACATCGACCACCCTGAATGCCGTAATATTTACAGAATTATATTTAAAGTCTTCTAAATCGAACGTTTCAATATCCTGAAAAACCAATCAAATCATCAAAAAACGTTCATACAGTCAATATAAAGGGATGTATCAAGGTATCCCACCAATGAAAATAAGAAATGAAAGCGGGAAGTGTGGTCATGTTTAACATAATCGGATGTGCAAAGAAACCCCCTCTCTCCTCTGAAACATTCGCAGCTCGGGTGAAAGAGGTTATTCCCTCCTACTTTATTAGAGAGTTAATCTTTCCGTTTCCTCGCTGACTAACGTGTCCAATCCTTAATGCATTATTCTGTAGTTTCACGTTTGGGGGAGAGGGGGGGGGGCGGAACTGGATGGAAGAACGAAGCGTGTCGCTCGATCTCACACCATGGCCAGTCTGTCGGATTTAAGTTTAAATCGCACGTTTTTGTGTTGATTAAACGAGAAAAAATAGTTTTTTTCCGCGCAGCCGACAACAAAGGCCGAAGCCCTCGACGCCTGCATAATCAATCTTTTCCGTACCTGTTGAATTCCTCAGACGCTCGGAATCAAGTGACGACAGTTCGAAACCGGGCTCCTCATTCACCCGCGATGGAGTTGAAATTTTCGGCGATTGTGCGAAAAGTTCAAGGCTCGAGTTTGAATGGGAAACGTGCTCGACACGCAACGGGGTTGTTGCACGATTTTTTCCAATTCGTTTTCGCGGAAAGGACGTAAAAAATGAGGATGGTGGCATTGTTCCGTTTCTCGGAAAAGTTTCCAAAATCCAATTCCGTTTCAAATGGGAAAATATCGCGTCAACAGATTTTGTGACGTCATAAGAGGAGTAAGCCGCTGAGTATTCGTTCATTCACGTTTGTTGATTTGCTCTCAGGGCGCAGTTGTAACGAGAGGTCATGCATCTTGCCGAGCTCACGGCAGTGTGGCTCTTTGAAGTGGATGTGTGTGTCATTTTTTGAAAGTAAATCGTTGATTCGTAATTTGAACCTCACGACGACCATGTTGCATTGGGTTGTGTCAATTGTAAAGAAACCGACCAACATCTCCACTCGAAAATTTGTGTAATTGTTTGGGTCATACGGAGGTTATTTCCACAAAATTTTAAGCAAAAATGTTGGCTGGATTTCTTCGAAATAATTAAAACAAGAGGTAATATTTTGAAACATTGCAATGTACTGGTAGATGTGACTGTTTCTCCTAACTCCCTCGAATTTTCCGAATGGATCACCCTAGGATGACTCTTAAATGAAAAAATATTTGAAAGGCTATCTGAAATGATAAGAAAAGCTTTAGATAGTTTCTATTACTAAAAAGAAGAACTAATTGTAAGTACATAATGATATTGAGTAGTCCAGTCATGGAGTCGATTTTCACTCTCCGTGTTACTTTCCACTTTTCAAGGGAAAACCCAACATGGCCTTAACGGTTAACCCTCGGTAAAATGTATTAAAAAAACGAATCTTTAAAACTCGGAAAACCATCTTTCTTTTTATTAGCATACTTAATCGTTTTATAGAAAACCTATTTTGCGAAAATTAAATGTTAATTTCTTCTTGTGAGACTTCTGAGGTTTATTCGCTCGATAATTTAACTTCCTCAAGAAAAATAATTTCTTCTCAATGAAGTCGCGACGCAACTCACAATCAGTGACTTCTACCTATTGCAACCATTCAAAAGGGAGGCCATAAATATCACAAAAAGTCGTCAGAACTGGCAACCGAACTTTACATGTAAATAAAGCGATTAATTAGTCTGTCACCTGCGGTTACCGCTGTGCTCAACGGAGTTGCGGCATACATTCAGTCTTGCCAAATTCGCGAAAAAAGCCTTTTATTTTCCGATGAGCCAAGAGCCTTCGATTCCGAACAAAACGAAAAACGGCGGGGATGATTACGCTGACGACTTTTCTCCTTCTTGGCTCCCGAGGGATTAAAAGGAAATCACCCCCTTTGAGCTGCGCGTCCGCGTTTAGGGAGGCCTAAAAATAATCGCTCCGTTCTAATGCGCGTGACGAAGACCCTATTCCTGACGCCTTCGAAAGTAGGCTGATGCAACACGCTCTGCGTGGGGTAGCGTTTGATGTTTGACTGATAAAAGTAGGGCACATTCACTTCGCAGAAGTCGGAATTTCTCTCTTGTAGATTGATTTGGAGCCTTGGAGGGTGTATGGTAATACTTTCAATACTTACACACCATAAAGCATAAGATTTCTTTCATTTTTACAGCTTTTCATGACCTCTAATTTAACCTTTGTAGTAAAATGACGTTTCTCTGAGCGATAAGAGGTGTGATTGATTTATAAACTTAAGACAGTAATTAATTCTACTGAACATCAAACTAATGTCGAAAGATCGTATTCGATGCATCAAACGGGTGAGATTGTATCGGTATCGATTGGTTCAAAACATAAACATAGCCTTAAGAGTCAATTTAGTAATGTGACGGAACGGGTTTTTTGTGGTAGATTTTTGATTCCTATGAGTACTTATTGGCTAAGAGTAGTGAATTTGCTACAAAATTTCTCATTTTCAGCTTTTCTGAGAAATATCGTACAATTTTGGTTTGAGGTTGTGTTCTGTTTTGAACCAAATGATACATCGAACCACTATCAAATACGATCCATATTTGCGGCATCATTGACCAAAGAACTAAGAATATGAACAAGGTGAAAATTTTACTCACAAAAGTTGTAAACATATAATGATACCTATGATCATTCATTTGTAATTGTAAAATCTGAAAAAGAAAAATGATAAAAATTAAGGGGACGGTGGCAAATAATCCTACAGTTGGTTACAAGTAATAAAATCGTGCATGATAGCCGCAAGTTAGAATCAGTGGCGAGACGTGAATGATCGATTATCGATTTTCCCTCATTTGAAGCTATGGTAAAGAATCGATTATTAAGATATTCGATGCGAACCCCGTTCATCGATCCTTTTCCATAGGTTTAAATGGCAGATCAATCGATGAATCGCGAAGCACGCCACGCCACTGATTCTGAAAATACTGCATCAGAATTTTGAATATCCACAAAAGGCACTTATTTGTTTATGAGTGTATCGAAACCAGTATAAACACATTGCTTTATGAGGAGAATCAGTGGAATCGTGTGCAAACAAATACACATTGATATTAGATTTTTTATTTTCAGATTTGTATCAATTTCTGTTTATGGTCGAAATATATATACGCAGAATTTCTGTTACTTTAAAAGCTTTGAAGATTACATATTGAGAAAAACTTGGTACGTGCAAATGTAGTTCCCTCCGAGAATGACTATCCGAATCCCTACATTTCACTTAGTTCAGACCCCTGAGCGCACTGTAAACGCTCATTAAGATAACTGCGACTATTTCCCACCCGGAAGAAGGCCTGTTAGTTCCTCTCCACGTTTATTTCCGGTTTCCCGCCCAGTTCTCAGCACGTACTGAATGCGGTCGAGTTCCGGTTCTCACCTATTTCCGGTCCGGTCTGTTTCCGTTCAGGAGAGTTTCTGAGCTCTCAGCCTTGATTACCTCTCAAGTGCTGTTTTATGTGACTTTGCAGGCAGATACTGCCTTGATCTTTTGTTTGATTCGTGGGCTTTTAAAGCGCTGCCTCTTTGACGAATGACAGCTCAGATTTAGTAGTAGATATTTTTCGTCAAAAATTTTGATGGAAAAATGTAGATTCTGTAATATTCAACTCTTACTCTGCCTGTAGCCTATCGCTCTAAAATGATTTTTACTTTCTTTTTAAAACCCGGTTCATTATTAGTGCAATAGAGAATCTGCAGGTGTCTGAAATTTTGTAAATTTCAGATTTAAAATGATACTGCTAGGAATCCTGAGTACGAGAATATCCTTGATTTCTTAATGGAACAATTATTGGAGAGGATATGACAAAAGAACCTAATTTGCTAAAATATATGTGTATAAAACGAAAGTGCCGCCAGATGACGACATAAGGCGGCACATTTTTTCACTTTTATATCTATTTTTCTGCAATGTCCCATTGTCCCATGTCAGAAAAGAATTAGGAAAAATACTGCCAACCCAGCTCATTAAGCACTCTCAGATGAAGCAATAAAATGTTTGTGTGTAAAGGTAATAAATACGCCTAACTCATTTACCGGACATGAAATGGCATGCAAATTTTCACCGATCAACGCTCATCGTAAATCGGTGAATGTTGATCGATGGCTTGCGAGATTTGAGCAGGCAATATACACAAGGGTAATATCCCCATAGGCCATTAGTAAATTAATGGATATTAAACAACTTACCGCTCTAAAAAACTTGTACATATGTCGCGGATTCGTATCTACAATTAATTTAAATATTTCTTTTTGCCTAATTTCTTTAAGTACTTGTCTATATGTGCTTGGATTTGCTTGTCTAATGTACATTTCAGTTCGTGTGACTGGTGGCGCCTTCACCAAGTCTTGTAATTTAAACAGTCCTGAAACAAAATTAACAAACATTATATACCTAACAGTGCAATGAAAACTCAAACAATGAGGTACGTGAAACCAGCTGGTCCTGAACCTTTGGTAGTACGCATACTCTTCACCCCGAAAATAATGTTCATATTCAAATTAAGTACGACCAAAAATTGACAAGCCCAGCTAAGTGAGTCGATTTTAATCTTAATCTTGGCTCTAGAAATACTACTCGCATTGCTTTGTGGCGAGGAAAGGGGGGGGGGCTCCCGGCTTAGAAAGTTCATAGCAGTCATGCAGAGAATAGATTTTAAAAGAGCCTCCATGGAAGTATTCTTCTTTTTGGGACACCCTGTGATTCCAGTGACAGGTGTGGCTAATTTGAATCCATGAGGAGGGTCCAAAGGTCCTGCCATGTAAGATTTTTGAAAAATACCTTTTTTCTGTTTTCAGTAGGTAAGCTTGAGCCCCTAAACCAACCCCTGCGGGCCAATTACTAAAATTGATAGAAAAAGCTACGGACAAAGAAGACGAAAGAAATAAGGATCTTATCGGTGGAAACGGGTGGTTGCAATGGACAAAAGAGGTTAGTAATATACAAACTAACGATAACTCACGAGAGTCCCTTTAGCCCTGTGTCCACTCGTCAAACTGGAGGCTGAAAGTGAATAGATAAATACGATCTGTTGGCGATTGTGGATCAAAAAAGAGTCGCGCCGCTCTATTTTGAGTTGCAACACTCATCAATCGCATCAAATCCCGACTTTGAGCCACTTATTGTTGAAATCAGTTCACTATGAGCTTCCATTTTGACGTCATTTTAACGAGTGGAGACAGCGCTTTTAGTTAGTCCATCATTTTTTCCATTAGTCTATAACAACCACTTATTTCAACCTGCAATAGGCTCACTCTGTGTTCCCCACGTTTTCTTTGTCTATAGCTTTGTCTATCAATTTCAATGATCAGCCCGCTTGCTACGTGCCTGTCTAAGGCAATTTCTCCCGTGGACGATCACATAGAGATAAGTATTTTTTGTGAGGGTGAAACTGACCATAGTCCTCCTCGTAGACGATGGCGACCTTGGTCCAGTTGAGGAAGCTGATGAGGTCCTTGAAGGCGTGGTTCATGTGCTCCTGGGAGGGGTGAAGGTTGATGGAGAACTCCTTGAAGCTCGGCTCGAAGTCCATGCGCGCCTCCATGTGCGGCACGTCGAGCGCCTCGCATATGGACTGGATGTGCGCCCCGAGCAGGGGGTCCGAGGGCCCGAACAGCGCTTGGATCCCGTGCTCCATCTGTCGGCACGCTGTAACATCCACTCGCATTCAAACAACACCATCGAACAGAGACACCTCTTGGCCACAAGTGGAAACTTCAAGAGTGTCGGCCACCACTTTGCTATCTGGACTTTAGTAGGACGTCATTTTCCTCGACCGTGGGTGGCTACCGCCACTCTTGATAAGTGGAGATGTTGCATGTGTGAGGACTTTGCAATTTGACTATTGATTCTTGTGTAAAAGTTTGCGAGAAACATGGTGCCACTGGTTCTCTCTGAAATCGACTCCCAAGCTCAAGCTCAAAGCTCTCAAGTTGAGACCAAAATGGAGGGATATCCCACGCTATCCTGAGAGTCCACTTCTTCATCAAGACAAACTCTCCATGCAAAGATAGGGAGCAAATACATTAGCAGTGATGCCGTGCTTTCAGTTTTAGAGTCCCCAAATAAAGTGGCAGCCCTGTCAATGTATTTGCTCCCTATTTTTGCATAGAGAGTTCGTCTTGATTTAGAGGTGGACTCTCAGGATAGCGTGGGATATCCCCTCCATTTTGGCCTCAACTTGAGAGCTTTTTTGAGCTTGGGAGTTGCTCTCAGAGAAAACCAGTGGCATCATCGTGTTTCTCGCAAACTTTTGCATAAGAATCAACTGTCAAATCGCAAATTCCTCACACATGCAACATCTCCATTTTCCATAAGGAGGTGTTGGAACCCCAAAATTAATTATTAGTCACACCTAGCTCCCTTAATATGAAGATTGATTCGGTTTGAACTCGACTGTAGCCCAAACGACGGCGTCGACGGCACGGATTCCAACGATCTTAGTGTCTACGGATGCATCTAAATTAGGACTACCAAGTGGAAGAGTTTCATTGAAATCCACTGAGTTTTCAAAAAGTTGTAAGCATTTAAGGACCCAAAAGGACGAAAATTTTACTTTATAAGGGACCGTTTGGCGGGGCAATTTGAATTCGGGGCTCTAAAAAAGTTACTCCGATTCCGCGACAACGGTAAACCCTAGACCCAAAATATTGTTGATATACAGAGAATACGATTTTACTTTATTAAACTTCTTGCGATTGGATGAGAGGAACGGGAATAAAAAAGTATCAAGAATACATGAAAACAATTCATAGGAAGCTAACAGTATCCGCTTACTCATTTTGTCACAAAAGATTCCTCCTTCTAAATTCGATTCTGATTCAATCGCTCTCGCGCCTCGATGAAAAGCGGCGCACTCAATTTGGCAAGAGGTCGAGTCGAAGAAAAATAGAGTCAGGACGGAAGCGCAGTCCCTTGTGGCGAGGCCGAGTCAGATTATCGGACCAGCATCATCGATTACCCTTTCCACTGATGAATCGAGCAATTTACATGTTTCAACGGTAACCGCAATTTCTGATTGGCTCACGCTCCCACCCGCGCCGAGCCGCGCCGCACGGTGGATCGAGTCAACAGGAGAGATCGAACATAATTTAGAACCTTTAATCGCCTATAACTCCAAAACTTTGAGGTTCTGAAAGTGGTTCCATTGGTTTTCCCATGAAATTTTCTACTGGAAGCACCCCTTAAAGTTTAGAATGTGACGAAATAAACATCAAAATGTGCAGTTTTAGTCTTAAATGTCATGTCCGACCTCTCTATTTGACTCGATCTACTGTGCGCCGGTGGCAAACGACTTACGGCAACCACCCTCGTCCTCACTCACACATACGTAACGCTCCATTCGCAGCCAATCCAATTTGTCGATTCCAGACGGAGATTTCTATCACCCAAGCCGGAATGTTTCTTTAAATTATACCGGTAAAATCGGCGTTATCGCAGATGCTTCTTCACACAGAAAGAAATAATGTTAGTGGTTCCCACTGCTGCGTTACCGACGAGAGCCGTAAGGAGCCGTTTCTAAATTACGTAACGCTGTGGGAGGGGGGAGTCGAGGAGAGCGTTACGCCATTTTGTTTTCATGTGTTAAAAGATAGGGACCTACGTCACAAAAGCGTTACAAAGGGGGAAGGAGGGGTCAAAAATGCTGGAAAAGTACGTTATTTAATTTAGGGACGGCACCCCTTGGTGCAAAAACAAAGTCTTGAGAAAATAGTCCCAGTAGTGCCTGAGCGGAAAATTCAATTGAAAGCATGCTTCGTTTTTCGAGAGATTAGTCATTAAATCATGAACGAATTTTGGCGTGCAGATACATTTCTCCAGGTAATTAACGCGTAGATAACGATGCACATACCCTAAAAACGCGAAAAAGTAACTCAAATCTAAGGAATATGTGGTCCATAAAGCGCAACTTTGTCGAAAATTTCAAATGCCGCAGTTTAACGTCGAACCGAATGATGTTATCCGACACCAATCAGAAGCGAGCACGGGTTTCTACGATTTCCGTCAGGTGTCTTTCCACTCCTCGTACATGAAAACGATAGGAAAGTCGAAACTCCATCCTCAGAATTAAAGAATCAAATTTCCCTCTTGTTATCTGTTGTAACGAAGTCACGATTCCACATTGAAATATGTTTTACTTTAGCAAACAACAGTGGTTATCATGCCTTGTTTTCAGTGCCGTGGTACATCAAACTGCCATCATTATCCCACCATTCCAGTGCATTTAAAATTCTTTCGAAGTTTTGGATTTTTTATAGCAGGCTTGTGGGCAAAACATTGATTGAAATGGGTAAATTCAACCGTATTTTTTCATGGCCATCTAAATCACTCAGAAACACGAGTAAATCTATAAATCATTTTTTGAGCGCAATTGCACCTGTTTCCCACAGTGGAAGGGGGGGGGGGGAGCAAAACTTTGAGAAACATATAAGAACCCATTGAAGCCTATCAAAATGAATCACATTAGCACTTCTCAACTTAAAAGCAAGCTCATTTCATACCCTAGAGCAGCGCAGAAACTCCATTGCTCAAAAGAGATAAAACCAATGAGACGTAAGAAATAGATGGAACCCAGCCCGGTCTGACAACCCGCACAAATCCGATCTAATTCAACGTCGTTATTTTGTCCAATTTCGCGTCCACCTAAACTCTCGCACCGAGGGGGCTTCAAATCGCATTCGTCGCACTGCTCTAGCATTTTCCTATTCCTATTATATTGAAGTTCATCCGATGAATAATTCAAACGATTATTTTCATTATATTAGCCCCGGCTTTGCGATTTCCCGTCGTCAGTAGACCGGTTGAAATTTCGCACGCTTATGAGATACATTTCGGGAGTCACCTCGTGACGGTCAGCGCGGAGGTAAAGTTCTGTGACTTAGTCTCTAATTGAACGTAAATATGGGCACGGCCGTGAGAAGGACAAATGGACTGCATTTTGCAATTTGGAACTATAAATTCTGGCTCCTCTGGAAAAACACTTTTGTGCATCGAGGAAACTAATGGCACATACGTTGTTTTTAAACCGGGCCAGAATTTATAGTTCCAAATTGCAAAATGTAGTCCAAATAATGACTTTCAGAGAGCATAAATGGACCGCGTTTAACAGATAAAGGAACCAAGCCACATCAGCTATTGTCGAATTTGACCGATCAATTTAATTTTTTATGAGAGAGCGTTTGTGCGGATAAGTTTGAAAATTTTAAGGAATTTGCTTCGTAATATGGAGAAAATTTACTGAAATTTGCATGAAAATCTGTACAACCGCTTTCATGTAGAAAATTAAATTGCCCATTCGCAATAGCTGATGTGGCTTGGCTCCTTTCTCTTTAACGCGGTCCAAATGGGTTCGAAGTTGTTGAATCATCTTCAGTCGGTTGAGACTTGGCTTACGACGATTTATTTCAAGGAAGGGAATGCATACATATCATATTATACCCGACTTACGTCCTATTTGCTAAATCCAAACTGATTGCGGTAAACGCACGGGTCGTAAGACAATGATGGAGTTTTTTAGCCATCGTGCGTAATGCATGTAATGCGGTATCAGCTTTACGCACGATAGCTAAAAATCTCCATCATTATTTGCTAAATGACTTAGAAAAATAATAACTAACTTACTAACTAGCTGCGACGAAGTTCCCATCTTCTCTCAACTTTACTCCCGAGTCTGATAGTGAGCGTCACCTCGTTGGAAGCATAGAGAGCGAGTTCACGCCTCGCGCCAGCGCGCCTTCAATTTTGCAGACGCAACACGGACATCCATCAAGCACGAATAGTTGTATCTCTGCGCCGTCGTCAACGCGACTTAGTTCCTTTACTCAATTTCCGTATTGTGATCTTTTCCGTTAGTTTTATTTTGTGACGGTCTTCGAGGGCTACTTGAGCAATTACACATCCGAAGATAGGAAAAATTTAATCCGGACTCGTTTTTTTACTTTTCTCTCGAATCTGATTATATTAATTTATTTAGTTTATTAAATGTTTTAACTTTTTCATATTTATATGTAAGGTGAACATAATCGATGCGCATATTTGATGATTAATATAAGTAAAAATATTTCAATCTTAGTTACCTATCTTCTATATTATAGTTAGTATCTTCAAGATTCAGTTAGGTTTTAACGGTTCCGACTAATTCTTGTTCACGGCCTCTGAACTCAAACATCAACTTTTTTCAAACTCATTACTTTCAAAGTGTTTGCATAAGTCTGAATAGGTGAAAACGGTATTGCGATTACGCGTTGAATTAGAATTTCCGCCCATCAAGATCAGCATTCTCTCATCAATTTTTCAATTAATGTCTAAATTAATCATCAAAATCTGATTACGTTTTACAATTTGTATGGATTTAAGACACGGGTATTTAAAGAACTGTCAGTTGCTCCATCACCTCACAGCTGGGATTAAAGAGGAGATTAGAGAAGTATAGCAGAAATGAAAAAATGAGGAAGCAGATAAAGTTGAATAAAGTTGGAATCATACCTTTCTTCGAGGCATGGAAACTATCATCACGAGGCACATGCTGAACATCATAAACTAGGGTAGTGTCGGGAAGAAGATTTTTATCCTTGTTGATTTTGTACACGGCGTATTTGAAAGCTAGCTCAGAGCTGCTATCTTTCTGATCCTGGGTGAATATGGCGCCTAGAACATGACAAAAAACATTCGGTTCAATTTAACAAGAAGGGTTCTGCATTGCGTCGAAATTCAAGAAGTTGAATATTTCGCTAATTGCTTCTTGAACTTCTTAATCCGCGGGCAGTTTTCGCGTGGAGATGCAGTGGCTGCACTGTCGCTCGCTAAAAAGCCAGCTTAAATAACCCGGGGAGCAAATCTTAAAAAGTGTTGCTGACCTGAAATTTCCACCAGTATAAGAGTTCACGGTGAAAGTTATCTTAATGCAATGAGGAGGCATTTTTTTCCGTGGAATCGCTCTTGTCAAGTCGGGTTAAAAAACTGCATTTTCAGTTTCAGTTGAGAATCATTCCTCAAAATAAGTTGCATTCAATTTAGCTCATATGTGTGATTGCGGAGGGAACACTATTGCATTTTTATATGACAGTGTTGATCCTAAAAATGCCAGATTAAAACTTTAAGTATCCTTCCCTTGGATTCAAACTACGAAACTTCTAGTTATTGCGACTTAGATTTGATTTAGCATTTATTGTGCCAAAATTTTGATAAATATTTATAAGGGTAAATACCTTCATTCATCGTCAGATCATTGGTATTTGATGAATCTAAATTTTGAGTTGATTTTTGACACCAAGGTTTCCGACTCCCTACCTCATCCTAAGATCAGTTTCGGAGAGAAAATTAGGTTTTTTCCCCTATTTTTCTCCCCCTTTTTATTGCAGCCTTGCAAAAACTAAATAATAAATAATTTTGTAAAATACTTTCAAAGTAGGTGCACATCCGGTAATTAAGGACGTCAATGATTCTCATTGAGAACCACTCGAAAACAAGTATACCTTGATAGTAACGTTAATCTCCAACCTCAATAATGGAAAAATCTCATGTTTGTCCCCTCGTGTATGAAGAATTCAGCTTGATCTTTGATCCTCTACCCAAATGCGAATTCAAGAAAACCATACGCGTTAATTAAATTCTATCGCCAGTCTTGCGTATGTCTGAGGAATCTTCACATTTTTGGACATTACCGATGTATGATAAGCGAATCGCCAGGGACATTGGTAGCATTGCGCCATAGTCCGCATCGGTGCTCAGATCGAAGACCCATGAAATGCCACGAGGAATTTCATACGTTTTGGGGTAGTCATTCCCGAGTCTCAAGGGTGGAATGGAGCGATATCAGTGTTGTCAAAAAATGCGCAAAATGCATTAAATTTCATAGTTGTTCACGTAGGAAATTTTGAATTACTCTTCATGAACTTATAACATTGTGAGGTATTACGAAGTTATCGTCCTCATGATTACTGGAGGAATGGCAAAGAAAGAGTTAAAGAAAAGAAGTGTGTACGTCACATTTACTGAACGATCATGCTCCGGAAGATCCATAAAGTATACACCTAGAACTTCAGCAAATACAAATAATTCTACAGCATTAAACAGTTGGTTTTCTGTGAAAATTGCACATTTAAAGCAGATCATCATATATTAGGTAAAAATCGATCTCCGTAAGCAGTACAAAGAGGAATTTAATTTGTCAACGGTAAATAATGGTTAAAAGTAAAATCTGGTTCATTAGCTTCCTACTAATCTCATACACCTCCCTTCAAACAAAAGACAGAGAATTCAAAAATCCCTGTTCTTCCAGAAATCTGCATTATCAAACTTTACTTTGTTTCTTAATACCTCTCTGAATTTAATTTAATTTAATTCACACAGACAAGGAATATAGTTATTGTAGTTGTTACGATATTGTTAAATAAAATTTTTCACCATCGTATACTTACACGCCGAATAACACGATTTCGTAGCTCACTTGAAAAAGAACACATTGGATCTAGAGTCCAGACTCTAGAAAACATTGACAAGAAAAAGGACTCTTGATTCAATCAGATTTAAGCTTAAATCAAGAACCAAGCCTCTTAATTTAAGCGGATTTAGTTTTGATTCAAGCAAAAATCCGATTGAATCAAGAGTATTTTTTCTTGTCAATGTTTTCAAGAGTCTGGACTCTAGATCCAATGTGTTTTTTTTTTCCAGTGCTGGTTCGAGATGGCGGAAACCGATGCACTGGATATGGACCAAGAAATAAAAGTCGACAAATGTAGGTTAGAAGAGGACCCTTATCGACTAGATACTATAAACTAATGAGTAGAGCGCAGCATCCCCGCGAATTTTTACGGTGGGTGAATTGTGGCGGAGAGGGGGGGGGGGCGATAGGCAGTTAGCCCGCTGCTACGTATTAATGCATTCGCCGCGATCGTTCCAATTTCCGTGCGCCCATTTTTCTTCGGGAATTATTTCCTCTTTTTCATGACATCCGAACGCATCGAGAAACGATAAATTAGGAGGGTCTATGAACCGAACCCCTCGTGAGACTCGTTGTCTTGAAACTCTAGCCGCAAGTTTTGGTCCTCAACAGTGTATTTTCAAGTTCCGAGTGCCATTTTGGAGTATTATATGGTGACTAGCGAAATGCCCGTGACTGGAGTCACGGGTCTAGAGGCCGCTAAAATATCTACAACCCCGAAAAAATGGTGGTAGGGGAGCAAGACATGCCATACCAAAAAAAATGATAAAATCGATAGAAAAATGAGTTGTGGGGAGAGGGTGATGGAGCTAGAAACATTAGCTGCGGGTGGGAGGGGAGGTAGAATTAATGCTGGCAAAAAAATTAGAACTAACCTAGCAATGATTTTTTAAAAAAAGAAAGAAAAAAAATGAAAAAAAAAAGAAAAAATAGGTTGAAATAAAACATCAGCTGATAGCAAACAAAGGTTACCAAGGAAACCAAGGAATGGAACTTTCATAAAAACAGTATAGTGGAAAACAGCGTAAGTAGAGCACTTACGTTAATTACCGTTTATAAGTAAACGGTAAATGCGATTTAACCGAAAATTTATACATAGTTCTTCATGAGACCAAAATGGACAAAATTGCAAAATTTGAAGAAGCTAACGTAAATCTAACGATAGTTATCGTGAACGAAAGAATTTCTGACATAGGTCGGGTAACTATTATAGGTGGGATGGGATAACTATTATAGGTGGGATGGGATGGGATGAGAGGAAAACGCCGTACGAACATTTGGAAGTCACAAAATCTTCTTTGAAAATACATTTTCTGTAACTGGAAGTTGAGAACTGTGCTGTAATGTCCTCGGAAACGGTGCCAGTGATCGCAATGACAACGAGGGATAGTGATGCGATAATTATCTAATTAAATTTGAAGAAAAGTATCATTTACAAATATTGTATTTCAAAGGTGTTCATATTTGTTGCTTGCAATTAGATTCAGGACTAGAATTTTTTAACTACTAATTCTAAATATTGATTTGTTTCTTTCAATACGGAAGAAAGTGTTAGGGATTATCCCCAAAAATTGCAGTACAACCCCCCCCTCAATTTGTTGGATGATGAGGGATTATCCCCAAAAATTGTGGTACCACCCCCCCCTCCTAATTGTTGGATGATGTAGACATTTCCAATTAATTGTGGTAGTGCTGCAACGCAAGTTGAGGTAGTACCGCAACATTTGGGTTAGTAACCTAATTTATTGAGGTACTACCACAATTAATTAGAAATGTCCGAATCATCCAACAACCCCGTGCTCTTTTTTTACTCGTGACAGGAGATCCATTATGTTTTAGTCTTGCAACAACTTCATCATGACATTTACCTCACTGCTGGAATAAAAATTTCAAGGAAAATGTCACTCAAATGCAGAAATCTATGCACTTCATTAATTTCTGGTAAATAAACATTAACATTATCGTTAGTATAATACCTATTACTAGGAGCGGTAGCGACCCCGTCAAGCCTAAAGAGATCTCCAACCGAGAAAAAGGGAGCTGTTACTGTATCTTACACGAACCCGTTCAACTTTTTACATTCTATTTAAACCACCATGATAGACGCGAGAACAGCTGTAACGAAATAATCAGAGCTAAATTTCATAATAAGTTTTGAGAGGGGGTTTTCATCTTTTTGGGTCTATGTTTTTCTATTTTTGTTTCTCAGTTTTATGTTGCTCTTTTAGGCTCATTCTCCTCTCAGGATGTCGCAACTCCTCCGGCACGCTCGTGGAAGCGTAAACATTTTAGAGGAAGTGTTAAAACACTATAAATAAAGAAAGTATCACTGTGAAAGAACTGGGAATCGAAAGAATAAGGGAAGGAAATGAAAAACTTTATCTGTTGTGATCCGTCTGCGTCTGTTTTATTCGACGCGATGCGGTGAAAACTTTCGTTTTCGAAAGTCCGTTTTATTTCCTGCCATGAAAATGCAAGCGGAACCGGGGGGGTGGAGGGGGGGTGTCGCGTCTCTTGGTGTGGAGCCTTGAACCGTCAACCGATGCAAAGTGATAGTGACTCCTTGAATTGTTTTGTATCTTAGTGTTAAGTTTTCGAATGAATTTTTCTTTCCCTTGTCAGAATAGAGCAGCACTATCGAGGTGAGCTTCCATGATCAAGCTGCGGAGTTTTCTCCTTTTTTCACCCCGAATAAAACTTTTGCAGTCAAGTTTTGAGAGGTTTTTTCCATTTACTATTTTTTCACCCACGCGGGAAAGTAAGTCACGAAGATTAGCTGGATGGTCAGTGAGTCAAGCGTATTACTTTATAGCCGTCATCGTGAAAAACTTCTTGTAAATCAAATTGCTCTGCTTGACCAATTTTTGGATAAACATATCGGCTTTATAGACGGATAGGAACATTGATATTAATGGGATGCAAGCTTCAAAAAAATGATGACGTCATTGGTTTTTCCCACGCCAAATGTTGATTGTGGTCAGCCGGCATTTCGAGGAGGGACCGTGTCTATAATGAAATATTCCGCCGGTTAATGAAGGGTAAGAGTAATATATACTGCGCAAAGTCATGTCTAAAGAGTTAGTGCAGTATGGACATGTTCAACAAATGTCAGGGAAGAAGTTGCCCAAACTAGTTTTGAATTTGTTAACCCATAGAAAAACTAGCACGTGCTTGAAATCCACTACAACACTAATATTTAGTGAAA